CCTTTGCCCATTTTTTAATTGGATTATTTGTCTTGCTGGAGTAGAGTCATGTGAGTTCTTTATATGTTTTGGAGATCAAACCCTTGTCTGAGGTATCATTGGCAAATATGTTTTCCCATGTGGTTGGTTCCCTTTCCATTTGTTGATGTTTTCTTTAGCCACACAGAAGCTTTTTTAACTTGATGTAGTCCCATTTGTGTATTCTTTCCTTTTTATCTCATGCTCTAGTGGAGGTGTCAGTTGAAAATATTGCTGTGTGGGGTATCTAAAATTTTCCTGCCTACGTTCTCCTCTAGGAGTTTTGTGGTTTCACATCTTCTATTTAAGTCTTTTGTCCATTTTGTGTTTATTTTGGTGTATGGTGTAAGTGGGTTGTCTAGTTTCATTTTTTTTTTTTTTAGCATGTACCTGGTCAGATCTCCTAACACTATTTATTGAAAAGGCTATTTTTACTCTATTTTATGGTCCTGCCCTCTTTGTCAAATATTAATTGACCATAGAGACGTGGGTTTATTTCTGGGGTTTTTATTCTGTCTGTTCTGTCTATCTATGTGCCCTTATGCCAGTATCACCAGACTATTTTGATTACAGTGGCCTTAGAGTATAGTTTGGTATCAGTTATCATGATCCCTCCTACTTTGTTCTTCTTCCTCAGAATTGCTGAGACTATTCAGGGTTGTTTATAGTTTCATACGGCTCTGAAATATTTGCTCTATATCTGTGAAATATGTTATTGATATTTTGATAGGGATTGCATTGAATCTATAGATTGCTTTGTATAGTATGGACATTTTAATGATGTTAGTTCTTCCAATCCATGAACATGGTTAATGCTTCCAATTATTTGTATCGTCTTTAATTTCTTTCATCAGTGTTCGATGGTTTTCTGAGGACAGATCTTTTACCTCCTTGGTTAAGTTTATTCCTAGGTGTTTTATTTTTCTTGTGACTACAGTAAATGGGATTTTTTCCTAATTTCTGTTTCTGATATTTCATTGTTAGTGTACAAAATGCCTTTGATTTCTGAATATTGGCTTTGTATCCTGCTGCTTTGCCAAATTTATTTACTAGATTGAGTAGTTTTTTGGTGGAGTCTATCAGGTTTTCTATATACACTATCATGTCATCTGCAAACAATGACAGTTTTAATTCCTCCTTTCCAGTTTGGATGCCTTTTATTTCTTTTTCTTGTATGATCTCTGTGTCTCTTATCTGAACTTCCAATACTATGTAGAATAGAAGTGGTGAAAGCAGACACTCTTGTCTTCTCCCTGATCTTAGGGGGAAGGATTTTAGGGGGAATGATTGCTTTATATTTCAGTTATAAAAGTGAATCATCTAAAAAAATATTAACTACCTACCACATGTAAGGCTTTAGAGTAGATGTAGTAGAAGAAACAAAAAAGAGATGAGTATACCACTAAAGAAATCTACTACATAGGTGAAATAATAGATATATAGTACATGTAAAGATAATTAATAATACCCAGCAGTGTATAATTAATACAAATGGATAATATAGATGACAGGTGCTAAAGAAGTCCAAAGGGAGAAGCCGCTGTGGGTTACATATTATTTATGACCTACTTTATTTCAGGTAAAGAAGGTGTCTTGACTATAGTATATTGGGGGGGTTATTAAGGAGAGCTTGATAAAGAAAATAAAACTTTAGTGGGGGTCTTAAAGGATGCAGAAAGAGGTAAGCAAGTAGGCATTCCAGCTGGTGAGAGTGGCATGGGCAGTGGAATGGGGATGCACAGGGCATGGCCACGGAAAGGAAGTGGAACAATTCGTATCATGTAGGAAAACAGGAGATACAGTAAGTATATTGAGGATGGATTCTGGAGCTCTTTGAATGTTAGGCTAGGAGATAAAACTTTTATTTATAGGTACTGATGAACCACTCAGCATTTTGGGCTGGTGTGTAAAAAGATGAAATAGAATTTTAGACAGATTAATCGAGGTGATAGTAAGTATAAGTGTGTGGACATGGGAAAGATGGAATATGAGTAGAAGTGAGGGAGGTGTAGTTGTATTCCAGAGGTAAGGGGAAATGGCCTGAGATGTGAGTGTGGCAGCAGGAATGCAAAATAAAGAACTGATGTGGAATATAATTCAAAGGAATAACTGGTAGGTCTTAGTGAATGAAAGGGTATGAGAATGAGAGAGAAAATAAACTATAACTCTATATGTTAAAACATATAATGTTGAGCCCCGGCTGGTGTAGCTCAGTGGACTGAGTGCCTGCCTGGGAACCACAGAGTCACTGGTTAGATTCCCAGTCAGGGCACATGCCCGGGTTTTGGGCCAGGTCCCCAGCAGGGGGTGCGTGAGAGGCAACCACACATTGATGTTTCTCTCCCTCTTTCTCCCTGCCTTCCCCCTCTCAAAAAAGAAATAAAATCTTTTAAAAAACCATATAATGTTGAAAATAAAGATGAATATTTATGGAAAAGGACATACAAGTTACTTTTAGAGTATATGTACAATCTCCTTGGGCTAAAACAATATTTAAAAGTATGTAATTTAAGTAGTGTCCACAATGATATGTTTTATTTTTTTCTTTTGTTTCAATTTCTGCTTTTTGTTTACTCAGTTGTTTTGGTTCCGGGATTTATGTATGAATGACAAAGTTTATTGAATATATACATACCAACATGTCTAATAAGTATTCTCTCACATCACTGAGATAGGTTCTGGAACCCTAGCCTACAAGAGAAAGGACTGCATCTGAATAAAGAAATGTAACTAGTTATGGAGTAAGAATATAAGAAATGTGAAAAGCATATTACAGAGAAGTGATATTTGTAAAGTTTGTAATCTTTTATAAACTTATTTAGTATCATTGCACAATGGCACGAAGACTGAAAGGCTAAATGTGTAGAGAGTAGTTATGACTGTATATTTAATAAAATGTCAAGGAAAAGTTATGTTAATCAGAGAATGGAAAACAGTGTTATATTTATATAATGGAATCCTACTTGGCAATGAAAAGGAGTGAACTACTGATTTAGACAATAACATGGATGAATAGCAAAAACATTGTGCTAAGTTAAAGAAGTCTTATACAAAACAGTATATACTGTATTATTCCATTTATATGAAGTTCTACAATAGATGAAACTAATCTATGGGGGGATATCAGAATTACTGTTACCTCTGGGAAGCAGGGGTGAGGAAATAACTAGGGAGGGGCATGAGGGAACTTTCTGAGGGAAATAGTGTTCTATATCCTCCTAGAGGTTTTGGGTCACATGGGTGTACTCATTTCTCAAAACTCATTAAAATGGTATGCTTAGGATATGTCCATTTTACCATATAGAAATCTAACCCGAAAATGTAAACCAGTGTCGAATCTTGGTCAATGCTGAGCGTGCTGAAGGGTTTTGAGATGACAAGTACTAATATCTGCAACTTACTTTAAAATGCACCAGAAATGATGGGTAGATAAATAGTGGATAGATAATTATATAATTGGTAATGACACCACTATAGTAAAATGTTGACTTTAATATATGGGTGTGTACTATATAATTCTTTCAACTTTTCTGTATGTTTGAAAATATTCACAATAAAATTTGGGGGATAATTTAAGGAACTTTAAACCCATGAAATAAGCCTTTGAATGACTGTGATTTGCTGATTGGGAAGCTGGGGTTCTGAATCAGAACTTTGAGTTTGGATTTTATTAGTTGAATATTTTATTAGTTTTGAGAACTTGGAGAAATTGTAATAGGTTTCCTGTACTACGAAATGTGAATAATGGTATATGCATCATAGAGTTTTATGAACATTAAATGAGTTAACATATATAAAATACTTATTGTTTAGCATAACATATGATAAGCTTTCCATAACATTTATTTTTAAAAGTTGGAGGAACATACAAAAATACTGCAATTAAAAATACAATTTCTTTGTCCTATATGAATTCTGATAGATTAAAATATTTTCTAGCCAATATTGGATATACAAGTATATTTCTTTACCACCATCCAAAGGATAGAAAGCATGAAAGTTAAGTATTTTTAAATATTTAAGTATTTCCTTTTACTTAGGTAAATAAAAAGATGGGACCCTTGAAAGGAAAAAAAAAAACCATTTTTGTCCTTAGAGATTTTGAAACTTCAGTGTAATTTAGCACATTTATTGCATACCATTGCCAAGATCCTGAACTTTAAGAGACAGGAAAACAACAGTGAGATCAGTTCCTACCCATAAGGAGTCTCCATTCTGTTTACTATCTCATTGGTCTTGAGAGGCTAAACACTGAATCAAGAAAATAGGCTGCAAAGTGCCTTTAAATGCTTAACTTACATTAAATGTTACATAATAGAACCTAGACAGGGGATGAATGAAAGTCTCTGTAATAGCACTATCCAAAAGAACTTTCTCTGATGCTGAAAATGTTCTGTATCTGTATTGTCCAATACAGTAACCACTGGGCACCTGAGGCTGCTGAGCATTTGAAATGTGGCTGGTGCAACTGAGGAACTACATTTATAATTTAATTTAATTTAAATTTAGCTACATGTGGCTAGTGGCTACCAGATGGAACAGTGAAGCTCTAGAGTGTGTTTCTCAAGCTATCTGAAGAAAAGGATGAGTTATTTTAAATTCCAAATTTGTTGCAGCCCAATATTTTTGTAAAATGCGATAAAAACGTGCTACAAAGATGAAATGAGAAAAAATCAAAGACTTGTAAAATGCCACCTATTTTTTTAACACTAGAGTCAACAGACATAAAATTACTGTCAAAATTACTATAAAAGTTTCCAACACTCTTATTTTCTGTATCATATATCATCATATACCAATGACTAGTAGTTTGTGGACTGGTTAATGGTCATGGACTATACTTTGAACTAGGTCTAAGTCTTTCTTTGCCTGACATGCCTAAGAATAAATAACTTCCTAAAGCCAACTCTTTGTTAAAAGTGGTACAAATAATGTTTTACATATTTAGGTATAGTTCAATAATGTGGTTACTGATAGAACAGTTAACACTCTTTACAACAAGTTTCATCAACTGTATATTGACAGTGCAATGTGGTCAGTTTCAAAGTGGACTGGGAAGGCTTATTTGATTCAGTGAAGCCATTTTTGCAGTTGGAGGTATAAGCTAAGAAATCCTTTTTTCTATGAAGTTCAGCCCGATGTCTACAGCAGCCAAATTTGCTCAGCAACAGAAAGAAATCCCTCCGGAATGCCTTTGTGAAAATCGCATACAGAAATGGATTGGCGCAAGAATTGACAGGATAAAAAAGAACCAGTAAAACTTTAGAGTTGGTTACTGTGATAAGGGGCACTTTGAAGGCAGCTGAGATGGCAAAAAAAGAGATTGGTGCCATGCAGGTGAAATCAGTGAAGACGAGAACTGCCATTTTCTTAGCGATCTTTGTATCTTTGTTGGTAGCCATCAGCTCTGGATTTTGAACTGCAAAATAAATTTTAATATAGCAAGCACAAATGATGATGAAGGCCACCACATTGAGTATCAGAATGGTTAATATGTAGACTTGTGAGAGAGTGGTTTCCACATCCATGGGGAGGCAAATGCTAACCTTCCTGTAATTGCTTACACCCACCAGGGGCAATATAGCAATTAGAGTAGCAAAGAGCCATCCTCCGAGCATGATCAGAATGGCGTGTCTTAATCGTAGCTTGTGGTCCAGCTGAACAGCGTAGGTGATGGTGTGCCATCTTTCTAGTGTGATGACCGTGAGGGTGTAGACAGAAAGTTCACTTGAAAATACAGTGAAGAAGCCAGCAGCACTACACCCACGTCCTGTCTGCCAGTCTATGGCATGGTTATAATACTGGCCTTTGGTTTGGAAATCAACCGAGGCAATGAGCAGCAGATAGAGCCCCATGCAGAAGTCTGCAAAGGAGAGATTGCACATGAGAAAACGGGGCACTGTCAGTTTATAACGACTGGTCAGGAGAACAAAGAGGACAGTCATGTTTCCCATGATGGCTAGGATATTAATCAGCCAAATCAAGACCCTAAGGAAGTCATAGCCCATAATATCTTCACAGGGATTAAAAGCATCTGGTTCAGGAGAACATCGGACTGTCTTGGGTGAGCAGATATCATGGTCATAATCCCAGCCTCTCGGTTCACTCTCAGCAAAGATGGCAGAATAACTGTAAGAAGAATATTTAGGCTCAATGTAAACTTAAGGGATTTCTATGATTCCGATTTTTAAAAAAGAATTTAACAGTCATCCTTAGTGTTTTTTTAAAGCCTAAGAAACAAAAGGGAAACAAAGCCACAATAGTCTCGGTCTTAGATTTATTTGTTAAATTATCCAAGAACTCTGAATTGATGTAGGAGTTTAAGAAGGAAATAAAAAACCATTTAGACTTTTTTTATATATAAATTGTATACATTGATGCAAAGACTTAATGAAACTGCTAACAGAGGATGATTTTCTTTGGAAAACAAATTTAGAGATGACAAAGTATGCTTGCTAAATCAAAGAGAATCCTTTCTTGGCATTTTCTTAGTTATTTATCTCATTCAGTTGCCACCCAAACTGCTGTGAAGCCATTTGTGGTAGAATGCAAATGGGATTGGAAGGCTCACACTGCTGAATGTAGTCAGCTAGCGCTGCACTGGCTTGGACCGTAGTCCCTGCTAACTGAATAGCCCCGAGAGGAACAGAAACCAAGGAATGGATTGCTAGAGCCCTAGAGGCAGAGGAAGAACATAGTCATGGACAGTAGGAAGAAATTGTGAAAATAGATACTTGTTAGTAGGGGCGCAAAGGAAATTTAGGGAGTGGATTGAATAGGGACTCTGTCCTGAGTAAAGAAACAGTCCCACCTCTGCCACGCCCTTCCTCCCAGCCCCCTTGCTACTGTTTGAGGTCAGGTGTTCATCTCTTAAGGGACAATTACATCTGTTTTCTTGCTGGCATCTTTCCTCCCGTTTTGCCATCCCAGTCCATCTGTACAGAATGGCCTTTCTTAAGTACATCTCTGTGCCTCACATTCTTCTTTTGCCATGTAAGAATAATGGTCCTGTCTTCCTTGCTAGGGTCGTGCTAAGGATTAAATGCATTAACACATGTAGAATGTTTAGGATAAATCCTGACATATTAAGTGCTCAGTGAATATTAGGGATTCTTATAATTATCTTGCAAATGCTCTGTGAAACTAACTGTCCTTTCGGTCACATAAAGTGACTAGTGGCTCTCAGAATAAGTTCTACTGTTTCATCCTGTGTGCTGTTTCTCCTTCCCTTCCTCTCATCTTTCTGATGAATTCCTCCTCATCCTTAAAGAGAAGCTTCTCCTTCTTGATTTTACACCTTCAAGTAGTTTATTACCCCTTCCGTCTGCTATGGTTGTGCTTAGGCACCACTGTAACTGTTAAACTGTATTGTCATTATGTTGCATATGATGCATATCCATCTTCTTTAATATTTATTAGCTCCTTGAAGGCAGGGGACTAGATTTTATTTATTTCTGAAATCTCAGTGCCTCACACAGTTTGGGCTCAGAATATCCATTCGATAAATGTGTGTGGAATGAACAAAGCAGAGTAATCCTGGCTCTGAGAGGAATTGCGAGGACAGAAGGACAGTCACTGCATACGGTATGATGCATGCAGGCTCAACAGATTTTCTCTCTGCCCACAGTCCACTACTGTAATCTTGGGTGCCAGAGATTATTGGGTGTAATGTTTTTTTGTCAGGACCATTACAATTACGTGTTTTACCTGATGGTTCCTCACACATTCAAAGAGTATTTCTCTCTACTTTCACAGCTTAAGCTTTTCATGTTCTATATAAGGAGGTGTGTACCTAATTTAGTGAGTGGATGGAATGATGTATTTGAGCAATACAGTTACTGAAGGGGAGGAAGAACACAGATTTAACAAAAAGAAAATGGATCCATGACCCAGGATTTAAAAAGGTGCTGGGAGTCATAGAAACCGATTTGGAATGGTGGAGGGACGGCTGTGACGCACAGGAGACTGCAGCGGAACCTCACCTGCTTTGTTCTTAAACATAAGGAGCACATTCGTTGGTCCTCATTTCATGCACATTGATCTAATGATCTATTTTTAATCTTTAAAGAGATAAAGTGGTTATAAACGATGAAAGAAAATAGGTTATTTCTTCACATGAGAAAGGTCTTTCAGAACATCTCATTGAACCCTTCATTTTATTGGTAAGGAAACCAGAATTAAAGCAGGTAAGTGGCTTGCCTAAAATCCTTCGGGATCAGGCATTAGTGGCATCTCAAGGTCCTCATACCCGTAGTCCAGGGGCCTTTCCTCTGTTCACCATTTTCTCGTCAGTGTTTGTCAAAGCATGGGCCTCGAACCCCTTCCATCAGAATCACCAGGGTGTTTGGAAAATACAGATTCCTGGCTTTACTTCAAATCCTGAGATTTACTTTCTAGGGATAGAGCCCAGACATCTGCATTTTAAGCAAGCCTGCTGGATGATTACTACAAAATAAAGACTTTATTAAATCAAGTGAAAACTTTCCAACTGTTGCTGCCTTAGTTTTCCTTATTCCTTTTCCCTTATCAAATCTACTTCAGCTTCTAGAAGCACTCATTCAAATTTCTAAAACTTCTGCCGGGATTTCTGAATAAATTTAGTATCGATAAGAGGTCAGGCATATCCTCTCTCCCACTCCCCTGGTCCTGTGTCCTTCTTTTTCTTTTTCGCACCACTGGGTATATATCTAGCAACTTTCTCCTTGGTGATTTATCTTCAGGCCAAATACCCATCTGCTGCTACTTACATTTGTGTCCTGGGATGGCTCCTGAGGGCAGCAGCGTGCTTACTGACAAAACCCAGCCTGGAGCCGTGGTTAGTACTGAAGCCTTAGGCAGGGAATGTGAATGGACTCACATAGGCTTAACAATATTGAGTCAGAGGAAGGACAAGCAGTAGTACCACTGCTCCAGTCACTATGAACAAAGAAAGGAGAAAAGACTAGACAGAATTTTAGGAAAACAATGGGGCCAGCCCTAGCAGTGAGAATACCACAGTGTCTTGGGAAGAGCAGGGAAGGCTCAGTGGCTGCCTCTAGAATGTCTAAATTCTAGAGACTCAGGAAGAGCAATCTGGAGGGAAGGGGCGGGAGGGGATTTATCATAAAAATGATTTTTCAGGAAGCACACTTTTTTAAGTTAAATTAGATATTTTAGGTAGTTTTGGAGATGCTGGAGATTAGGGGATTTGTTTTAAAGCAGTGTTAGCAAACTTTAAGATTTTGTACTCATTCGGGAAGGCTTGCAGTGGGGGCTCATGAGGATTATTGAGAGGGAGCTCAAGTCTCCCCATCCCCCAAACCACCCCTTGGTGCTACCATTGATTGTACCCTGAAGTGGCTTCCTGTTGAGATAAAAAGCCATACAACTGCAAAAGAGTGATGTGGGAGGAGACTGGTGGGAGGTCCGTGGGGGACTGGCGGGAAGGAAAGGGACACTGGAGGCCAGATGGGGACGGACCTAATGAAAAAGAAAAGGAGGATCCAGGATATAATTTTTTTCAGCAATAGCTCTCATAGTTCTGAAAGCCAAAGAATATTTCTGCTGTCCCTTAGAGATGAGGAAAAAAGGCTCAGGAAAGGTAATTCCTGTCCAGGAATACCCGGCATTACAGGAGCATTTCTGCCAAGGATTCACGTCCAACTCTGAGGAGACTGGGAGCCCAGGGTCCTTCCATCATGCTCCCCTGCTGCCTTTACGTAACTTGTGGCTTTGATAGGGGGAAAAGAAGAAAGAAGATACATAAGAGGGAATGGAGATTGGCAGAATTTCTTAGAAGGGCATCTGGTTTTGTAGCCTGAAGGACACATGGGGGGAATGATAAAATTCCTAAATCGCAGTAAGTGTGACATTGGGGACACCAGGGTTATTGTTTGAGGCACGCTTTTTTCTTTTGTTACATTTGAAGGTATGTGAGATGCTGAGGCAACCAGGAAAAATGTTAAAAAGATCAGTCAGTAGAACAGGGTGGGATAGTCAGCTCCCACCTGGTGTATATTAGTGATAACATTAAGGCTGAGTAATAGCTCCAGAACAGAGTGGTCAAGGTGGCCTAAGTCTCTTTAAAGGAAGTGACTACTTCTAGAAGCTGCGTTGCCATCAGTTAATCTTTGTGGGATGTTGGCCATATGACTAGTGAAAATTCCTACAAATGAAATTATCATTTAAAGAAGCCCTTAATGACATTAAAATACTTGCAAGTGTAACTTGAATTTCTGAGGAGAATTCAGTAGAATGAACATGTAGGTACTTACTTAGAAAGGTTTTTTTTTTCTTTAACAAGTCGAATGAGATACCTGATCAACTGGATGCCACTTGCAAAGAAAAGTTCTGACTTTAAAGCTATTAAAAATGCTTTGCAAACACTCTCCCCCCAACCAAGAAAAGAAAGAAAACCATTGCCACTGATAATAATAAGGGGCACACAGAATGAGATACGGTGCCCTGAGATTCTTTGCATGCAAATACTTACAGCGTTTTATTGTTCCGTTTCCATGCTGTGCTTTCACATTGTTTGGAAAAGTTTTCGAAAATGGAAAATAAAAAATTCTGCCTGAAAGAGAAGAGGAGGGGAAAAAAAGCAGTTGAGCTTTTGGTCTTTAAACTAAATTTGATCATGTCAGTTAATGCTTTGTTCATCCAAATTCTTTACCTATTACACCAACTTTGTGTTCTGTACCATTGTCCTAACTGAAATGCTTCCTGGGGAGAGAGTACAGGTTTCTGAATTGTCATTAGAGTGCGTCAAGCTTTGATAAAGTGCTTCTGAATGTTAAGTGGTTTGTGCAGGCTCTAGAGAGGAAAAAACCTTAAATTTGTCATATTGAATCATGGGTTTTTCAGGGCTCATTAAAAGCCATCTTTATGGTGTATTAAGGTTTGCTCCTCACCACTCTCCTCACTCTCTTTGAATTGTAACTGGGAATCTTTTTTGTAGGGATTGGAAGATATTGGACCTGACATCATTATGTGAATTTTCTGCCTTTTTTTCAGTGACGTGCAGAAATAGATGTAGTTGCTCCCTTTTCCTTCATCTTTCCCTTTAAGCCTTTAGTCAATAAAAAGGGGGGAAACGCCAAGGAATGAAAAGCAGGTCTGTACTTGTATTCCCAAAATGACACCCATGGGAGGAACAAAGGAAGAGCTGACGAAGAAATAGAAGAAAGGGGAGCAGGCTGTGAGAACCTCAGCGTTGCCTAAGGAGGAGAGGAGAAATGAGGCAATGCGAGCCAGGCATTCCCCTACATTAACAAGACAGTTCCTTTTAGGAATGACTTTATACAGAAGCAGGGAAGTGGAGAATATATCAGAACTATTTGACCTGCTGGACTCACTTTAAAAAAATCAATCAGCTTGTTATTTGGGGTGAGGATTACACATCCTGAAATTTGGGTCAAATTGTGTGTGTGCGTGTGTGAAAGAGAGGGAGAAAGCGAGAAGATGGGGTCTCTAATCTGACACTAAGAGACTCTGTGTGAACCAATCTACAGTTAACAGGACATGTGGTTGTTTATGTCCTTCAGATAATAGCACTGGGTTCCGTCTGCTCTATCTTTTTTGAAATTTTAATCAGAGATAGCAAGGAGGTCTTTGGGGCCCTGTGCCCAGGCAGCTGCGAGCATTATCCAGACTTAGCAGCTGCAAGGCAGAGGGGTGACCAGGGATTGCACAAACATCCCACTGGTCCAGCTTCAGGCTCTGCATCCTCACGAACATCCAAGGTTTTGAGCTTTAGGGATATGGAAGGAATCAGTTAATCCCAATTGAGACAAACCCTGTGTGACTACGTTCCCATTACACTTTGATACTGGCCCACAATTGCATAATCCACTGCCCCCCAGCCCCCCACTTTTTTATACCTAGAGACAGTCTCTCTAACCAGCTGGAATAAAAAGCCCCTGAACTACAGTTTTTGAAGGCCAGTAATTTCAGAAGGGACGTGACCTCTTTGCTACAAAAATGGTGTCCAGAACCTGTATCTGTACTGTTCTTCTGGTTGGTCTCTCACCAGCCTTGCTCACTTCCAACCCAGCCTATGCCCTGCTGCTGGAGTGATATTTTACAAAAGAAAATCTGAGCCATTTTGCTTTAAATTCTTCAGTGGTGGCCCATCCTCTGAACAACTTGGCCTGGCACTCAGAGCTCATCACAACCCACCTCTCCCTGGCTTCCTCTCCTCATTCACCTTCTTCCATGTACCCAGAAGTCTTCTGGCTCCAGTTTTTCTGGATCGCACTGTCTCTTGCCTTTGTGCTTTCACAGGAACTATTTTGCCTTTTTGGCATGCTTTTCCCCACACCTGTCTAGCCCACCTGTTCTTCAAGGCTCAGCAGAAGTCACTTTCTCAGGAAGCCTTGCATAAGCCCTACTGCCATTTAGAAACTCTTCCTCTGTGCTCCCAACCAGCCAACCAACCAACCATGAAATGAAACAGAGTAAAATAGACGAGGCAATTTCAGAACATACTACACGTAAAAAGTTAAGTATTGCTTTGCTTTATGTCAGTTACATATGTGATGTGAACTGGGTTGCAGTGTAAAAAAGGTATTTTTTACTATGCATCTCAGGAAAAAAAAGTGTAGAAAACAATGCTTGGAGGAAAGAATGAAACGCTGTATACCCGGCCATTCCATTGTGAAGTGAAATGGATCCATTGAATCAGTAAGACGCCCCTCAGTGGACACAAACCAGCCAGGAGCTTCTGCCCTTTTTCTTCCCTAAGCTGAGCTTGGGGAGCTAGGATTTTTGTCTGAAACCGAAGATGGTCTTCTGCTGCAAGAGAAATAGCTTAAACAAAAAACTTCTTCTGTAGGTTTTTTGGGGTCTATTTTCAGTTAAAGATTTAGACATTAGGTAAAATTTGCCCTCTTGAGGCCACTCTCCCACCTCTTTAGAAATTACACCATCTGTTAAGGATTAGAACTAATTGATCTTCGAAATGCCAGTTTTGTATTCATGTTGCACTTCTATTATAGCCTAATAATTTGAGGCTATAATTCAATTAGCTCAAGATAGGGTACAAAGGTCTTTTAGCTGCAGGGTAAGTTGACTATTTGGAATCGGTTTTCAGGGGGGAGCCAGGATGGTTCATTTGTTTCCTGTCTGTCTGAAAAGGGTCTAGGAGACAGGGAGTGAAAAGGCGGGGAGCTGTCGGCCAGCTGACTGTTTTGATGTCTGAGTTTCTGCCACAGCTTGGCAGGCTTTACCTTTTGTTTTTTTACTTACTTTTTTGCTGGCAAGTTTCTAAAAGCACAGCAGTGGCTGGGGTAAGTCAATATGGCATCCTGGAGATTGGTAAATTTTTCTCTGGATGGCAATTTTTTCAGATAATAGGATGATGTGGCAATTAGCTTCTGGATGGACTCCAGCCCATAGCTAGGTAGGGTCTGCAGTTTGGTGGAAGAAATATCCCTGAAAAATAAAAGGGAGAGAGGCTTTTTATTTACTTATTTCATACATTTATTTGATTCATAGAATGAAACACCCTCTGAACAATAGCACCATTCTGGGTTCTGAGGAATCTTTTCTCCATCTTGCCTTTCCCCTAATTTTGCATTTTAGTTACTACTGTCATTAAGATGGAAATTCAAAAGAGCTAGGCTGTGTTTTTTTCTTATAGGCACCCCATTATTCTTTTCAAGGTTGAGTATAACTCCTTGTACCTGCCATACACTCACTAGCATTTCTCTCTCTTCTCCTGGCTCCTTTCTCCCTCCCTCTCCCTCTCCCCACTTAGCAGAAGTGAAATAACTGCCTGCTTTGTGAGACAGCAGGCACATGCAGTGACATCAGCTTTTGTGCTCTACCCCAGGGGGAATACTCAGGGCTTCAGATGCCTTGTCTTTGATTGATCAAGCCCTGCAGGGTAGGTTTCCAGGAAGCACAGGCTGGTTATATTACTAAGAGCTGCCGTGCGATGTTAGTCATCATCTGCCTGGGAAGCAGAATGCGCATCTGTGAAGGCAAACTGGATTCAGCAGGTCAAAGCGAGTGAACTCGGACATGCAGGCAGAACTGTGTGGAAAGCTCAGGTTTCGTAAACACAGCCTTGAACTCCTTGGTTTTTCTAGACTTGAGGCCATGTCCAAGAAAACTCCAAACAAGTTAATTGTGTGGGGAAAGAGCCATCAGTGGAAATTCAAAAATTCCGCCCATCTTCTAAGTGGCTGCTGCTGCTGCCCCATGAAGCTTCCCCAAGCATCGCAGCTGCCTCCCCTGCACACGAGGTGCCCTTCACAGTTAATGTTACAGGTTGAATCGGGTCTCCCCAGGTCTATATGTTGAAGTCCCAACCCCCAGGACCTCAGAATGTGACATTATTTGGAAATAGGGTCTTTGTAGAGGTAATCAAGTTAAAATGAGTTCATTAGGATGGGCCTTAATCCAGTATGACTGGTATACTTATAAAAAAGAGGGAAAATTGGAGATGACACACACACACACACACACACACACACACACACACACACACAGAATGCCGTGTAGAGATCGGAATTATTCTGCCACATCCAGAAGGAACTATCAGCAGTAAGAAGAGACTTGGGGGACAGACCCTTCCCTCATGGCCCTCAGTAGGAACCAACCCTGCTGACACCTTGATTTCAGACCTCCAGCCTCCAGAACTGAGAGACAGTTGATTTCCGTGGTTTAAGACACCCAGCTGTGGGACTTGGTTCCAGCAGCCCTAGAGGCTGATGCCCCACAGTGCAGGCTGGGGCGACGTGGCTGGACTCCCTAAGCAGGCCAGTTGGGGTGCGCTGGGCGGTGTGCCCTGGGCGGGGAGAGGAGGCAGCAGTACTGTACTCACAAGATGGCAGGCCCCGTGGCCCCCTGGAAGGCTCCAGTGTGCATCTTCCTCAGGCGGGCATTTCCCTTCAGGTCCCTGTGGGGAAGGACAGCGTGGTCTTAGTAGAGTCTGCACCTCCTGTGTAACCAGTCATAGCTGTGTGCACTCAGGTTTGGACCAGCCTATGCGTGGTGCTCAGGCTTAGAGGGCGTGAGGTGGGAGTGTAGGTAAAGTGGAAAAAGACACTCCAGTGCTTGGCGAAATTGTGAAACGGTGAGTGTGTGTTTGGCCCCACCTTTCCTCTGTCACATCCCCTACTCGATGGAACCCTTTGTCCTGCAACTGAAGTTCTCACCGCTCCTGTCCAGGAGTTATGGACGATTACTATCGGACAGCTGGGGGATGATGAAAATGCTGCTCCAGTGTTCAAGGCTGAAGAGTTGACGTGTAGCCTGCCCTGTGTCAAGGCTCTCAGCTGTCCTGACCTTGGAGGTCTCAGAATTTACTAGTGATATACTGAGGTTTGCAAATGTACTTAAAAAAGTAGGGTTCATTCAAAGTTACTCCTTTCATCATGCTAATTGCACTCTTTTTTTTTTTCCCAAATATGCATTTCTATGTGGGTGAGAAAGGGGAGAAAGTACAGGCTGTGCAGAAAATTGTCCCATAACCTGAGTGCCCTGCTGTTCTGTGCTGTGTGTGTGATTATCACCAGGTGTGCATGTTATGGAAACAAAAGGGTTTAGGGCCATGGCTCTTAAGCCTGTGGCAGAAGCCCAAAGCTGCTAAGGCAGTGGCCACCGGGGGGCTTCTGTTCCCTTTGACTCAAAGCAGCTTAAGGTGAACTGCTCAGGAACAGCTCAGGCTGGCCCTGCAGAATTGCCTCCTGCCTGGGCCCAGATGCTGGCATCTCCAAACACAGGTTCTTCTCTGTGTGGACAAGGGAGCTGGGAGAGGAGTCCCTGGGTGCAGACTTGCCAGTTTTCTTTTCAGCACTTTCTTTTTACAAGAGAAGGGTGGTGACTCAAAGAGCATTCCAGAAACCGTGGACACTGGGCACAGTACGCATCCATTGTTGGTGTGACTTTGAGCATGGCCACGTGATTCTTCTGCATCATGTTACAGCATGGCTGATGCACCGAGACCCAGGGCCCTTCCCCTGCAGGGTGCCTAGGTACTTACTGGGCTCCTCTAGTGGCATTACCTCTTCTCCAGCATCTGTCTGCGTGTCTCCGTAGCACACCTGCCAGTTAACAACTGCAGACGCCCCTGCATCTCCCTCCCTGGGTAACTCTCTTCCACATGCTTCTACTCCACGTTCTCCTTGGAATCCCTAAGCTCTTTAATCAGAACGCACCTGCCAGTCTCACATTGTCTCATCCTCCGGGTATATTTCCATTTGCAAAAAGATGAGGTTGTCAGAGACAATTGCCGTTTAAAATCTAAATCAAAAGAATTTTTTCTTCCGGAGCTTCCATGGCTCTTGTTCCTGATTTGGTTTGTTTCAATTATGTTCAGTTATGGTCACAAATCATTGAAACTGGGCTCCGTGAACAGATAATCCTCATGTCAGCCAGGTCAAATTAATTTTTCAAATTTTATGACAGTAATTTGCAAGTTATATTAAAACCTTGGATCTTTCTATATACTGATGACTCTGCATTGTGCAACTTGGTCAAAAATAAATCAAATTTGTCTGCCACATTTTTCCTGGGTGTCACTTTTGGGAACCTTCCCAGGTGACATGGTCCTCCAGGGGTAAGCAGCACAGGCAAGATGACCTTTTGAAGCACCGCAGGAGAACCACCAGGTGCCACCCAAAGCCTTCCTCACCGAGTGCTCTGGGAAGGATGAGACTGACTCTCAGGCCCCGGGAGGTGTCTGAGGGCAACTTCTAGTGCTGCTTCTCCCCACCCTGTCCTGCCGTAGTAAGTAGTGTGAGAACTTGGCAGAGCTTTGGTGTCACTGTTCTGAACAACTTCAGACAGGCTTATTTATGAGGAAAGTGTCAAGCGCTGGGCTGAATGTAGATTTTGAAAATTTTGCTTGACAATCTTGAAAACTCCTCCTCCTTCTGTGCTTAGATCCTTCCATGGGTCTTCTTGTCTTTAGGAGACAATTTGGACTCCTTTCCACGGCCTCTTTGTTCTGCGTGATGCGCTCCTGCTCCATTTGCAGGTCTGTCTCACACCAGTCTTCTCCTTGCTGGTGGCCCTCCAGCACACTGGCCTCCTCTTAATTACTGGAGCTGGTAAACTTCTTCCCCTGCCCCCAACTCAGGACCTTTGCCTATGCTGTTGCTTCTTCCCGAGGCACACTTTTCTTCGTTATCGCCATGGTGGACTCCTTGTCATCTTTTAGGCTCGGCCTACATATCATATTCTTGTTGGGGCGATGACCTAGCCTACAGTCAGTCATCCCTCTGTACTCTCACAGGTCACAGTGATAAGTTTTCTTCATAGTATACAGGGTCTGGCAGAAGTAACGCCACTGAGTGTGGTTGGTAGGGCACGTGAATATACTGCATGAGATGGACAGCAATTTGAACATGTCACCCGAAATGCTATATGGTGTGCTTGAGTGTGGAATTGGTATGTTACAGAATGACATGCTTATGATTTTGTAATAAAAGATTTGGTGTAGATTACCAGTTCATTGAAAGGGGTGTTATTTGTGCTGGACCCTGTATATCACCTGCAAGAATTAATTTACCTTTTTGTCTGTCTTTTATGCTAGAACAGAAACTTCACGAGGGCAGGGACTATTTCTACTCTACCATTGCGACCCAGTACTTAATATAGTGCCTAATCAATTGGTGATGCTTAATATAATATGTACTGACTGAGTAAGTGAGTGAAATTGATTTGTGTTCTTGGTTCTCACTTTTCCCCAGTGAAGGGTGGAGGCCACAGAGTCTTGACTAATTGTACTTTTTGAAGCCCACACCCATTCTGGTTTCTCTGAAGCAGCTGAGATGCTGCTGGCCCAGGCCCTTCCTCCTGCAGTCCTGTCTCCCTGACCTCCCAAAGGATGCACTCTGCTGTTTTCCTTCCGCCTGTTTGCTTTCGCTTGGCTTCTCTTCCCCCTGTCTTGTTTCCCCTCAGTTTTATAGTCAGTCCTCTGATCCCCCCCTTGTCCAGGTGACCTCAGTCACAAAGGACTTCAGCTGCCCCTCTATTCAGATAACGCTGATGTCTGTGCCTCTAGCTCTGAACTGCCCTTTCCAACCCTCTGTCCTTCCTGCTGAAAGATGACTCTTCTCTAAGCACCTCTCTCACACTTTCCTTCCCAGAACTTCTCATTTTCTACAGAAGAGAGTCCAAATTCTTTATTCTGACACCTAAGGCACTTCTTGCTTTGTCCCTATCCTATAACTAGGACTTTCTAGAAGGTACTGTTTGCTGGTCTATGAACGTATCTCATGCTTGCTCCCTGGGACATTCTTTCCATTGTTCTCTGCCCGGAGTGCATTTTCCTTCTGTCTTTGCGAGTAAGTGAGGCCCAGCTCCAGACCTGCCTTTCTCACGAGGCTTTCTCCGATTTTCTTCATCCTGTCTTCTGTTTTGGTTACTCCTTGGTGCACAGTTTACATACCATTTGGAGATGGTTCTTCCTAGGCTGTAAGCTCCTGTGGGCCAAACACCAGGGCTTATTCATGTTCATTTTCTCTTAAAATACAGCATGGTCCTTCAAACACAGCTGTTGCTTGGCAGACACTTGTTGAGTGAATAATGGGATGAGGCATCTGAGAGTACTGTGCCAAGAGAGGATATGTCTCTGATTTAAATTTGTCAAAAACAGATTCAGTTGGCTAGAGCGAACCCTTCATTAAATTCAAGTCAACAAGAAAATGACAGAAAATTTACTCCGTGATAGGAAGAACAACTTTTAAAAAGCTACTGTTTCTAGAGTACTTAGAATGTGCCAGACCTATACTAAAAACATACAATATAACATTATTTAATTATTATTTATTCATTCATAGTTAATTAACTATGTAATGTAGTAAATAATAAATGAGCACCTACTCTGTGCCAGGTGCTGTATTAAGTATAGAGGATACAAAAGTAGACCTTTTCATTTTTGGGGGGGTATCCTCAAAACAAGCCTATTAGTGGCTCTATTTTATGAATGAGAATACTGTGGCTTAGATAGGTGATGTAGCTTTTCCAAGGTAGCTGGTAAATAGTGAGATTAGAGATCTTTTCTCTTAGCCACCAAACTATATGGCATGGTATCAATATAATAGGGCCTTTGATAAATACCTATAGTTAAAATAAATATATAATATGAGAGTATTATAGAGACTTATGCTCTGCAACTTCAGACTGGCAACATCAGCATCTCCTGGGAGCTTGTTAAAAATCTCTATCCTAGGCCCATTGAATCAAAGTCTCTGAAGGTGGGGCTGGGGAATCTGTGTTTTAACAATTGACGTTATCCTTATGTGTGTTAAAATTTGAGATACACTGGTGTAGACCATAGTTTATATGGTATTTAAGACCATAGTATTTAAATAAAGACCATAGTATTTATTATAAAGGCCTTTTCACTTCTTTTCCTTAATTTTCACTTTAGTTGAGGTTTTCATATGCTCTTAGTTTTTATTATAGAGAACAGTAGTGTGATCATCACTTCCCCTTGTACCTGTTAGGGTTCAAACAGCCCTCGCCCTGCATGCTTTGTGAATGAACCACTCTTGTACAAAAGGAGCCATACAAAGAGAGAGGTTGAGAACAATGAAGGAACCAGTTGGCTGGGATGCTCCCCTTGATTTAAAAGCTGTTAACACTGGGGACTTGAGTAGGGTGTGGTGAAAATTCAAGATTCCTTCACCCCATGGAAAATAAGCAACCTATTTCCTGCTCCTTCTGTCCACCTCCCCCGCCCACCACCACCACGCAGGCAGCAGGGAGATGGGACTCTGAGTTGGTCTGTTGTGGCCGAGTAGCTGCTAAATGGTGTTACCCAATTTCTCTGCAGTGGGACAAATGGGAAGAATTCCTTTGCTAAAATCATGCTGCCTCTAGTGCACCCACCACCTGTGAAAGGGGCCTAGGGAGGGATACAGTGAGATGGCGGAGCCTAAAGTAGGGTGTCAAATATTTCAGCAAACTGTCGGCTGCATCTGTCTTTGAAATCTGGGTGCTCTGGTATCTCTGGCTGGCCAGTTGCCTAGTAACATGCATGAAACATGGAGGACTAGCCACTTGAAAGTTTATTTTTGTCCTGAGTTAGTTGCTGAAAATTGAATGTAATCTGGTAGCCAGAGTAGTATTTCGTTTGTATTCATGAGCTGGGGAAATAAGCGTACTTACAGGGCAATCAGCGTTGTCCCATTGAACGCATGACTTTGTATTTCTTCAAATCCGTTTTCATATAGTTTGCTGAAGAGGGAAGAGAGAGGGTTTAGGATGGAAAGGAACAGTTTGGAATTACACATTCTTCCTCATGTGACATTTATTACTAAGATAATTGCTGGCATTCATAATGTCTATCTCTGTTTCTCTAACATTTTAGATTCTAAATGTTAGAATCTGGTAAAATAAAGCTATTCTTTTTGCTCTGGTTTTCCTCCACCTCCACCATTGTTGCCTCCAACCACCAGCAATTTTAAGTGTTTTTTAAGTATCAGATACTTAACCAGCCATTCTACATATACTTTATGATTTAATCTTCATCATTATTTCCTTATTGTCCTGTTAAGAAACCCAAGCCTCACTGTTCTTGTGTAGCTTGCTTCAAGTCAAACAAAGCAGGGGCAGAGCTGGGATTTGAAGCCAGAGCTGACCAACAAGTCTCGTCTCTGGCTGTGCTGGCCTGTGGGCATTTGGGTGTTCCAGGATGCTGAAAGCTGAGGAAGGTGGGCTCCCGAGCGGAGTTAACTATCCTTTTTCTCGAATGAGTATGTGGCTTTGGTGATGTCATATCTGGTGGCTTCACAACCAATTATTTCAATATCTGTAAACAGTTCTTTAAGACCCATTAGTGGATAATGAAATCAATTTAGTTGGGTACAATCAGCATTTTGAGTAAAGTGACTTGTCTAAAGCTAACAGGCGGCAAAAATGGGACCGGAACACACTTTGTCTGTAGCTACTTCTCGCTCATCAGTTTTGCTGGTCATTTTTACTTTTCTTCCCTGAGATGACCCTCTCTCCTTCTTCCTGCAGGCTTGTGTTTGATTCACAGTGTAACCTTTCCTGGCTGCTCTGTTTAAACTACCGTCCGCCTCCCCCAGCATCTCAGCATTCCCTATCCCCCTTCTCTGATTTTTTTCTCTGTTGCTTTAGCATCGTCTGACCTGTGATTATGTTATACTTGTTCATTGTCTACCTCCTCCAGCAGAATGTGAACTGTTCTGTTCGTTGCAGAATCCTCTGCATCTAGAACAGTGGCTGGCACCTGGGATGATGACAGTCAGTACATGTTAAATGAACTGGATGAATAAGCTAGTATATGGAAGGTGAGTTGCTTACTATAAATTATAGTCAAATGCGTTTGAAAGCCACAGTCTTACATAGAAATATTTCTGTAAGTTCTTCATGAACAATGATGTAAGACTCAAGTGAGAAAGGGCTGTGGTAAAATGATTTACCTCCTGTGTCTGGCAGGACCCTAGCTTCCCTTCCCAGGGTACTGGCAGCTGCATGGCCACGTCAGGGACGGTTTGGGGACTGTGACTTGTGACAGTTTAGGCCCATCCTCCACCTGCTCTCACTCCATGTGGCTGTTATCTGTCAGGTTTCCCTAGTCTTTAATAAAACAACCACGGAATTTTATCTCGGTATATGTGTATGTGTGTAGTGTACATGTGTGTAATATGTATGTACTTTGTTTGTGGCTTCTTTCCACCAACCCACAGCACACCTGAGACAAACCAGCATATAAATAAGTAGAAGCAGGACTCAGGTTGAAGCATGATATTTGAACACTGAAATTCAGAAAACACAGAGATTGTGAAATACTTTGTAAAGTCTCCTTATTAGACTGAGTTCAAAGAGGGCAGGGAAATATATTTAATTCATTCCACAAAACCCTCAGGCCTCTCATAATCCCGTTGCCTCGCAGGAGCTCCACGGTCAGTTGGGGTAGAGCAGGAGCCCTGCTCAGCCACGGGAGCAACAGCCTGTTCCAGCTCCCCGCTCTCGTGCGCTTTGTTCTGGGAGTCTTTCGAATCTAAGCTTCACTTGCCAGCCCTTAACTACATTCTGTAGTTGATTACTGGATGCCATTTTTTTCAAAAATTTCCCTTCTCCATTTATGTTGTACAATCCGAGGGGATACATAACTGGTTTATATTTGTTGTCTTGTATATTTACAAATGACCTTCTGGCCTCCTTAGCACTCAGTTGCATGGGAATTGTATTTTTCATTTTATACTTAGAATATTATTCTTTGGCAGTATCTTGTCATTTATAGCAATCTCTATTTGATAACAGAATCATACCTGTCTTTTCTCTGAACCTCTTTGAGACTGGATTTCTTAGAATCTAGGCTAGGGTTCATCAAAGCATTCTCTTCCGTCTTCTGAATCAGTTACCTGGATGCTTGCCAAAAATGCAGACTCAGACCTGCTGGCCAGGGGCACCGCAGACCTACAGAATCACACTCTGGTAGTGGCATCCGGGAACATGCGCTCTTATAGCAAGCTCTCCCAGTGAGCCTTGGGTATGCTGCTTTGGGATCTCTTGTCCTAGAGCATGTTATAGGCTGATGCAGTTCTCATCATTTCCATAGTGCACACCAGGTAGTCTGTTGGTCAGAGCTGAGCTGGGTCTAGTCCCCTAATTGCTTTCTCTGCCTTGCAAGTGAGAGAGCTCCATGTGTGGTGGATCAAGGAAAAGTAGCCCCTACGTTGATTTTGGCAAAGCAAACGTTCTAGCAGTTGTCTGGATGCCATTTCCTACCACTGCTAGGTGCTGCCCTGATGATCCTAGTTTTGATACATATTAGGATTTTGTACTTTTTTGTGGGGCTTACAAGTGTTCTTAGTACCACCTCAAAGTTAAGTCTGTAAGCCCAGGGCCCAGCTGCCTGGGATTGCATCTCAGTCTGCAAGCTTATGAGCTGAATTTACTTTGGGAAAATTACTTAACCTCAATTTCCTAATCTGAAAATAGGGGTGATAATAATAGTATTGAGCTCAAAGGTTATTGTGAGGATTAAAATAGTAAACATGTTCAACACTTTAGAAACAGGTTCTGGAACACAGTAAATATGTGATGTGTTGCACCTGTTACTCATATACTTGGCAGTGGCCTCCAGCTTCCTGACCAGAACTGGGGCAAACGGTCTCCCTTTCCATGCTCTGGACAGAATTTTCATGAAATGCAGCCACCTGTTTAAAGGAACTCTACAGGGGTAGGACCCTTCTGTTCCCAGGTGGAGCAGGTCGGTTCAGTGGCTGGGGCTGCCCCAAATGTACCCACCCTCTGAAGGCCCTCAGCCACCTTCAGTCTGGGTTGGCATCATTGGCATTTTTGCATTTGGACATTTTCCATGTCTTTTTTTTTTAAATAGCTTGGGTCCTGCGTGGGCCAGTTTTCCAAAGAATGTGGCTCATTGTTTCCTTTCCAGCTGCTGCTCTGCATCTCCGTTTTTACCAGACTCTCACAATAGGATGTACTGCATTGTTTTGATGAAAAGACTGGCTTCCTTAGTCCAGAGAAATTACAAATGTGAGTGGGCGACCCCACGTTGTCAGGCCTGCACAATGCTTTATGCCCTTTAAAACATCTGGAGAGTCACTTCAGATAACTTTTTCCCCAAAACCTCATGGTGTTGGAAGGGCCTTGAGGATGCTATCGCAGGCACAGAAATGAATTTCCCCCTCCTTTCCTCTATTATAATAGTTGCACTTTACTCTAAAGCATTGTCTGGATTCTCTATTCAAACGCCAGTAACGGTGATTCAAACGGAGAGAATGGCACCTTTTTATTCAAAATAAGATTCAGACTTTAGAACTTAACCACAGATGATACTTTAATTCTGAATGCTGCCTTATAAAAACTCCAGATATTCATGGGGCTCTGAAAGCATTTCTGGTGTGATATGAATGTTCTGTCATAGTTCTCTCTTGGGTCATGTAGTCACCTAGTTTTGGGTGATTTCAAAGAAGACAATTTATGTTTACAGACCCTCAGGGTCTCAAAGAGTGGCCCCCATTTTTGAAGGGCAAAGCATACTATTTTAGAATATATGCCCCATGGTGATATATCTATAAGCAAATTTTAATCAAACAACTACACGAATGCAATCTCAAAGAAGAGGGATCCTAAATTCACCACTGTCTTCTTCATGTGGTACTTGGCTGAGGTCCTCCTTTTGTATTTGAATAATTCCTCATGCATAAAAACATTTCTCCAGTGGATGCCCTGACAGTGGTTTTATGGATAATTGTCACCAGTCACTACTGTCTGCTGCCAGGACACTGGTTCTGAATGTTCATCAGAACTCCCCTATTTCTGTGGGGTTTGCAGCCACTGTGGCAGGAGATCTCTCTCTCTGACTCCGTTGTGCCTCCTGCTTTTCAGTGGCACTTGAATTCTTATGTTTCCTTCCACCTCAGCCAAGTCCACGTCAACTTAGATGACTTTATCACAGTAATAATAAAAGGATGACAGATAGTCAAGAAATGCTGACAACAATGGATTATAATATGTTGAATAATTTTTTTAAAAATTCACATTCCATATTTAAAAAGAGAGAAAGCAAAAGAGAGAGTGAGAGGTAAAAGGAAGGAAAAAGAAACCTCTTTTTTATAGAAACATGCTAGCTAATAAATGTGGAGGAATGGTAGACTTTAAAATGATCGTTTTGTCATTCCATATCTAATAGCTGAATAATCATCAATAGATGCTGAAACCATTGCACAAAAGGTCTTTAGCCATGGCATAGTCACACAAACTCAAACGACCCCACCCTGGTTTACTCAGTACTGACAAGGGGAAACATGCACCCTTGTGACTGTGGGACTGTCAGTCATTAACACCTTAACCAAATGGCCAAGGGGTGGCACAGTGGGGCGTGATGTGCCTCCTGGTTTGATGCAGTGGGAGAGATGTAACATCTTTGTTGTGTTCTTGCAGAAATGTTGACCTGAATCTAGTTATGACAATACAGTCTGATGAGGCCAGACAATTGTCTTGGGCCCCTCAAAGGATTCAGTGTCATACGGAACCGAAGAAGGCAGGGGTGTAGTTCTTGGGGGTAGGCTGGGAAGACTAGAAAATGCAATGCATAAACTTTGGTTAGATTCTGAATTTAAAAAACAATCTATAAAAGACATTTTCATTTGAATATGGACTGTGGGTTGGATAGCACTATTAAATTCATGTTGATTTTCTTAAGTGTAATGGCGCTGTAGTTATGTAGGATGTCCCTGTTTTGGGGAGATACACGCTGAAGTATTTAGGCATGTGGTGTCACGATGTCCACCAACTTCTTTGGATGGTTTGGCAAAAGGGAAATGTGTTGTACGTAGTGACACATATAAAAATGGAGCAGGTGTGGCAAGCTGTTAATAGTGGTGAATCTAGGTAAGGTTTATAGAGAAGTTTACAGTACTGTCCTTTCCATTTGTCAGTAGGAAGACATGGAGAGTGAGCGACTCCAATTATCAGATAAAATTTTCAAAAACAAATTTAGATCGAGATGATGCGATGCAGTGTTTCCCGGACAGTCTAAAACAACCTGGCTTGCTGAATGTCAGCTTTTAGCTGTGATGGTGCAGTGGAGACGTGGAAGGTGGTTGGATTGACACAAGGAGGCATTAGTCATCCCGTTGGACAGACAGACACAGAGGCATGAGGTGGCAGGACTTGACCAAGGCTGGCTGCACACAGAGCCAGGATTAGAACCCAGGCTTTCGGTTGCAGTGCCAAGTACTTTCTCTACTGTGGCTTGTCACAAGGGCAGCCTGAAATCTTGTCATCTTCACCGTCAGCTGTTCTCTGAAGGGTTTTAGAGAATGCGTTGCTGTGACCTTTCCTCCTCCTGGTGGAGTTCAGACGTGAATCAAGGTTATCTATCAGCTTTTTGAGATAGGTATGACCTGTGATCTAGAATATTTTAAAGGCTGTGCAGCCAAATCCTGCTTACCCAGGAGGGCATTTCAAAGTGACCTCTTAAGGAGATTCAGTGAAAAGCCAAATGGCTAGAAAGGGACATCGGAGTGTAAGGCGTAGTTTTAGCATGAGCCCCACTCAGCTTCTCCAGCATCCGGTGAAGTGTTTTGTTTTCATTAAATAAGCTCACAGTTGGTACAGATTTGGGTTGGGGGAGAGCAAGAAAGGTTCCACAGAAACCAAAATCTTCAAAACTGCTACTCATGAAGAGAGGAGGCTTGCTTTCATTATTTTATAATTAGGGAGCAGAACTTCATAGGTGAGAAAATCAGGCTTGCCTCTTTACGTGTAATAACCCTGTTCGGTGGGGTGCGCCACATGACTCTTTGCTCACAGAAGGGCCCATTCGGCTGAGAACAAAGGCCAAGCAAAAACCGGACCTCTCCCCTCGCAGGTGCGCAGATGCGGGGTTGAGAGTGAGGAGGGGTGGAGCACAATGCCCCCACGGGCTCCTGGGGAGAAGGATGCACAGCCCTCATTAACTTCAGCGGTGGGGCAATTACACCCTGCTGGTAGGCACCATTCATCTTAAAATCATTACTAACATAAATTAATAGTCCCAAAATAAAACTGCTATGTAGCTGTTGTGTATACATGCTGAAATGTGATGTGTGAAAAGGAATCTTTGGTGCTTCGGTGAGTTTGGTTGGGCAGCCCAGTCTTGTGAGCTCATCAGTGAGAAAATAACAGTCCATGGGGATATTCCTCTAAGTGTTCTGCCCTGTCATTCCTATTCCACTCCACTCCCATCATTATACACATGTCTAAGGGCAGTACCTATTAGTTCCAGATTATTTTTAGGTCAAAATCCAAGGAAGTCATGGCTATCTGTGATCTTTGAATAAAGGCTCCTCTATTGGGTAGTTTCGTCTTAATACTTTTTTTAAAAGATTTTATGTGATTTTAGAAAAAAACAAATTTATTCCTTTTAGAAAGAGGGGAAGGGAGGAAGGGAAATATCAATGTGTGGTTGCTTCTTACACACCCCCTACTGGGGACCTGGCCCTCAACCCAGGCATATGCCCTGACTGGGAATCAAGCCAGTGATCCTTTGCTTTGTAGGCTGGTGCCCAATCCACTGAGCCACACCAGAGCCAGTTCTTCTTACTACTTTTATTTGGTTGCTTCTAAGCCTTTTAACCCCTTATCCCAGCATTCAAGACCCTCTGTAATGCAACTCCTTTCTACTCCTTTTTATCAATGGTGAAGATATCTGTCTAATGTATTTCCCATTCCTTCAGCAGGGTGTTCACTCCCAGTGAGCATGCCGCATCCCATTCTCCTCCTCCCACAGCCATGCTTTTGGTCATGCTGTTGTCCCCTCACTTGGATTATTTAACCTCTCAGTGCCTTGGTTCCTGCATCTAAAGATGCTGGTGATAGTCCCTACCTCAAAGGGTTGCTGTGAGACTTAAATGAGTTTTTTAAAGTACTTAAAAACAGTGCAGGCATTTAATAAATGCTATGTAAATACTACCAGTGTTGCCGGGTCTCTGAGGTCTGACTCAGATCCCAGCTCTGCCCTGCAGCCTCCTCTGATTTCTGCAGCCTAAGAGGACATTTTCCCAAGATTTCTTATTTCTGTGTACGAGACACTCTCATGGTGAATATCTACTGGCTTATATTATTCTTTTATTATTTCATGTTTTCCCCCATTGAGATGACGAGCTACTCGAGGAGAAGGATCTTCTATGTCTTTTGTTTTCTCGATAAAGACATTGGGAAGACACGCAGCCCTAACACGGGTGGTGCTCCTGCACTCAGTGTGTGCTCTGTAAATACCCCACTCCTGGCAGCAGGCCTGATGGAGAGGAGTAGCTGCGGATCCACATGTAACAGTGGGTTGGAAACACTGGAAACACTGTGGTATGTGAGGGAAGCAGGGGAGCAGAAACACTGTGAAGTTCCCCCGGGATTTGCAGTCACCTTCCAGGTGTTCAAGAACTGCAAGTGAAGAATTTTACTTACTTCGAAACTTTTTTCTTTCCTGCTCTGTATTCTTTTGATTGAAACACTGAGCTGGGGCCACAACTTTGTAGCATAATTGTATGTGTTGGATTATGCCTACACAAAGTGAAAGTGCTATGCAACTGCAGTGTACCATTGATACCAATTTTTAGAATCCACTGATATAAAAGAGTCCCCTGAGACTGTCTGTCCTCTTGCTTCACAACTACTTCATTTCAGGGTCATCCAATCCTCCCCCACTCCCTCTCTCTCTAAGGGGAAGCACACTTCTTGTCTCATTACAATCCTGCCATGGGCTATAACCAAAAAGAGAGAGAGGGATATGGATGTGTGGAGCAGAATTGAATATGGGTCACTGGGCATTGGGAATAAATGAGATGTGGTGTCCTGGATGCTGCTTCCACATGGTGGGTCAAAGGAAGGTGCCCCACATGAAGATGGCAAGGATCACAGAAGGAAGGAAGTTAGGCAGGTGCACAGTGAAGAGAATGACTTGTTGCCTTAGTACGATGCCCACTCAAACTTTAATGTGCACATGAATCACTTGGGATCTTGGGAAAATGCAGATTCTGAGTCAATAGGTTCGGGATGGCCCTGAAAGTTTCCATTTCTAACCAGTCCTGAGAAGCTACTGTGGACACCGGTCCATGGACCATACTTGGAATAGCAAGACCTTAGGAAAGAGCATGAAAGGGTTCGGACCTTCGAGCCTAGTAACTTGATGAGTGATGGTCAAATAAGAAGATAGTATTTTCAAATTTAATATTCAGGGGCTTAGGGAATGGGTACGGATGGCACTGCTTCACAAACAAAGTCACCCAGGGGGTGAAAAATCAGAGTGAGAAGGAAAAGAAAGAGAGCAGGGTCCATCGATCAGCTACTCTCCCTGCTTGGAGAATATCTTCCCAAGCTTTTCTCTGATGAAACTTGAAATTTCTGTGCTCTCTTTTAAGCAGGGCAGCCACTCCCCTTCAGGCTGTCTCTGCAGCGTCAAAGCATTCCACTGATGCGGTGAAGAATTTCATCAGTTGGAAATTCGGGTTCCGTAAGTCCTCGGGCCCATGTGATGAATTTGAAACTGAATGGGTTGCTTGGTTATCATGTGAACATATGACCCAGCTTCGATCCTACATTGCTCCTCTCACCTTTGGCATTTTAGGTCAAAAAGAATGTCACCAGTGAGTGAGGGACACGGTAAAAGACAAGACAGAGATTGTCTTTGCTAGAAATGAGAATAGCAGGGGGCTCTGTGGCAGAACATGAACCTGGGGTTTACTCACAGTGTTGTGGATTCGTTAGTCATCCCTTGAAAAGCATTTCCTGGTATGGTGGTTATGTGTACATTATCACAAATTTCCCTTGAGGAATGAAAGGAGAAATATTTACTTTCCAAATTTTAGCTGCAAATAGAAAAGTGTTATGTATAGCAATCAGCCTGGTACTTACAGAATGAAATTAAATTCAGAAGAGAAGATCTTTGTAACATCTGGAAGTGTCTGAATGCCAGTGTTACAGATGCTCCTGGGATTCAGGGACAAGGTGAGGATGCGTGCAGAGAATGAGTAAAAGTGATTGTTATTAAGGCATAAAGATACAAACAGTACAAAGGCATTTTGCAAATACTATTACATTGAAAAATATTGAGTTTGGCTTTATCAGTTATGCTTTTAGCTGTGGAAGGCTATGAGAATTTAAAAGCCTGTGACACTGTGGGAAAAGTTGCAGTAATGATTCCTATTTAGAGGTCTCGGGGCTGGGACCAGACTTTCAGGTCTTTTGCATTTATATTTATTTCCACCCTGTTTTTACCTATCACATCACTTGCACATTCGTACTGTATCAGGAAGTTCTTCCTTGTATCCCACTGAAATCATTAAACATTCCTTTGATTATTTGAGCTACTCAAGTCTCCTTCCCCCCGCACCTTTTCCTTAGATTTCAAAGAAGAGAGAGGCTTCAATGGTAGGTCAAATTGAAGGATATTTTATTATACAAGAATGGGACTGCTTTAGGGAAGCCTAGGCACCTGAATTCTCCCCAACCAAGTTTTAAATTCGCCAGTCATGGACTCTGGACACCTGAGAGCCACTGCCTGGCATCCTAGTGACAACGAAAGGAAGCCCGGTTTCTCATTTGGCTCTCTCTGGTTCCCCTTCTGACCCATTACCCCAGGTCGCACCAAGTCCTTGCCCTGTCTGTGGCCGGTGGTAGCAGCGTGGGCTTAGACTGCAGTGTGTACTGGGGTCGAGGGAACGTCACTTTGAAGGGGGAGGTGAAAATGCTATTTAATAAAGACAATGATTCGTAGATAACAAGGGACTGTAGTCCGTCATTTCTGTTCCAGCATTTTCTTCTATTTTTCGAAAGTGGCTAATGCTGAGGTGTTTATGTGTCCTATAGACCTTTGGAACGTTTGGGAAAGCAAAACACCTGGGGTAGGAGTTCTCCAGCATCGCAGCTGCCAAACCAGACGCCCTAATGCCAGCAGCAGCTCCCGCAGGGGCCGCAGAGCTAGATCGCACAGGTGACACGGAACACCAGGGAGAATGTCCTCTCTCGCCCTTTTTTTCATTTGGAGATAGTGGTGTTGTAGACTGTGTGTCCTCTGGAGACTTTATAAAATTTAACTTATCAGGATGAAGAGAGAGAGAGGACATCTGTGTCAGAGGGATTTAAATTTTTCTGTGTGAATTAAGTGAGTACTTGATATGTGAGAAGACCAAGAGTGATACATTTATAGATTGTATCAGATTTCAGGAATTTTGGTTTTGTTGGCAAGGCAATGAATCTGCAGGGTACTTACCTGATAATTCTACCTAACGGACTTCATCGGACTTAATGGGAATTGGAAAATAATGGTTTAGTTTATATGGCACAGTGCCTACCTAAAGCAGTATGTAAAATGTTTTCACTTAATGAATGAATGGACAAATGAGATAAAGGAGATCTGTAGTTCTCAGTCAGGGGTAGGGGGTCAAATCAGGATTGCCTTTCCCACCTTCGCCTATCTTCTTTCCACATCACCACCTTGCCTTAGAGATTCTGATTTACCCTTTTAAAGTGTTGTGACCATCCCTCCCTGCCCCCTGCCCACTGCCAGTTTGAAAATCACTGCAAAGAGTGATTCGCCAGAGACAATGTTGAGAACCACTTACAGGCATGTCAGCACGGTGGCTGATGAGAAATGCCAAATTAAGTCAGAGAGCTGAAGACGGAAATGCAAATAATACTAAGTATATGGTTAAAAACTTTTTTCCAACCTTGGAATTGTTTTGATTTTTATCAAATGCCCATCTTCCCCTTCCCAATTGCTTAAAAAGGGAAATTGCTCACAAGTATTTTAACCGGGGGAGATTCGTAAACGCTCCAGGCTCGATGTGTACCAGGTTTTTGGTGTTCTGGATCAGTCTGTAAAGAGAGAAGGGAAAACGAGCAGCAGTTTACTAGATATGTATTGTTTGGCACACATGACACCGTGGTCACCAGAGGTTGCTGGCTACAAACAGCATCAATAAAATCAAGTGCTTGAGAGGAGCTCCTAAGACCCTGGGGATAGAAACAGCATGGTGTGAGCCAGTGGCTATTTCCAGGAAGCTCTGCTCTCAACATTCTGCCAAGGCAGGTGCATCATAGCTGGGAGTCTGTTCAACTCCCCTTCACCCCTGTTCCACCTCCCTCCACCCCTTCTTTGCCCCCAGGTAGCATCAATATCCAGGGCTCCTGGCCAAGTAGGTCCTGGCCTGACATGGAGCCTGCAACCTGGGGGCAATGGGAGATTCTTCTCCTAGGAGAGATGAGCGAATTAGCTACTCTCCCTTGCAGGTAAACTGGGTCTCCTCATATTGGGCTGGCAGCCACACTGACCAGTTATCCAGATGGTCACCCAATCTGTGGAACAGCAGGGCAGAGTCCCGGTGCTTGGATTTGGGGAATTTTATGCTCATTCTGTAAATAATTTGTTGTGTGGTGATGCCCAGTCTCCTAACTTCCCTGAGCTAGTGTTTTCTTCTGTAATATTGAAATAATAATGGACACTCTCGGTACTTCACAGGTTGGTAGGTAGTAATAGAACTTGTAGAGATAATGTACAAGGCAGGGCTTTGCAAACTGTAAAAGTAGAGCCATAACATCACAGTGGTGTTGTCGACCTTCTCCCTAGTTCCACCAGTGATTTTGACCCTGGAGAAGAGGCCACAGTTGCTGTGTCGTGTCTACTCTGGATTCAATAAAAGGCCAGTAAATGCCATTGAACAACCACCTGAGGAAATAATAATTACTCTTGCATAGAGAAAAACATAGTGTACTGGTTAGGTGGGTGGTTTCTGGAGTTAATTTGGTTTCCCATCCTGGTTTTACTAATTGTATGACCTTGCATGTATCACAGTTTCCTCACGGGAAGGTCAATGATTTAGGTCACAGGTGGCAAACACAAGGCCCGCAGGCCGAATCTGGCCTCCACCTTGTTTTAACCAGCCTGGCACCTTGTTTCTACCTGACAGCAGCGCCAAGCTCTTGCTTCACCGTTACGGAGTAGTTACATTTACACAGTCCTAAAACTACACTCGGCGCTTTGAAGGCAGCCTCAAGGCTGATGTAGCCCCTGGTGAAAATGAGTTTGACATCCCTGGATTTTAAAGGAATCAATGTGTGTGGTTCACTGTAAAGCTTTAACCAATATTCACAATCATTGTCATAGTTGATGAAATCAGGAAATTGAATGATTTGTCAGAGAAACAGCAGAATTCAAAAATGAATACATTTTTTTCTGAGTCCAGGTCCAGTGCTCATTCCACTTTACCATATTTACCCACCGTTCATACCTACTCTTTTTATTTATGTATTTATTTATTTATTAGAGAGAGGGGAAGGGAAATAAATTTCTCTATAATTTATTTATTAGAGAGAAAGTGGGAGAGAAACGTCAGTGTGCGGTTGCCTCTCACATGTCCCCTACTGGGGACCTGGCCTGCAACCCAGGCATGTACCCTGACTGGGAATCGAACCGGCAACCCTTTGCTTCACAGGCTAGTGCTCAATCCACTGAGCTACACCAGTCAGGACTCATGCCTACTCTTTTATGTCCTTTTGATTGTTTAAAGGCGAGTGACATTTTGTTGGAATTGTTTTTACAGTGGAATCAAGCAATCACGGGCCATATGTGGGTGAGATGGAAGGGACTTTTATCTCTTAAGGATCTTTCGGGGTTTGACCTTAAACCACTCATCCGACCACTCTTTCATTCAACGAACATTGATTAAGCTCCTGCACGTGCCAAGCACTGTGTAGGTGCTGGGGATCCAGCCGTGAGCAAAGCAAAGAGAAGCCTTGCAGAGCTAACGCCCTAATCTCAGGGCCTTGGGAAAAGTCTATGAAGTTTCCCTTAGAGCATTTCATTTTTCTTTCTGTTGATACATGTTGCTTTGCCTCATAAGAAGCTTTGTTTACCCGAAGTTGTTCTTGCAGTTCTCAGTGTAAGCTGTGCTGAATCAGCATCACTTGGGGAGTGTGTTTAAACTGCAAATTTCTAGGCCTGGGATAGGACTGTCATGTACAATTGTAATGAGAACCTCCCGAAGTTCTACCCCACAGACAAATTTAGACTATACCTTGAGTACTTAAATACCTATTATTTTGAATTTCCCATAATTGTTTGGTGAGTTATTCTCACTTCCCTGGCTATACTGTCATCATACTGATCAATTAATTCTCTTCAGATAATTGCTAATTAGACCATTCATAGCGAGGTCTTCTGGTATAGTGGGAAATGCATAAGCATTGGAGAAAGACAGGCTGGGCTTGCAGCCCAGCTCAGCTGTTGCTTAAGGTGCTGCATTGGTCAAGCTACCTCTCCGAGGCTTCTAGAGAAAATAAGTTCCAAGCACAAGCACTTAAAAACTATTTGTCAGTAACATCTTTTCCCCTTCCCTTAACTTTCTAAACTTGTATGTGGAGGTGTAAAAGCTCAGGTTTGGGCCAAACCAGGCAGCAGTAAGAGGTCCAGTTTAGGGCTGACTTGCCGTGTGACATCAGGCAAATCAGCTAACTTCTTTGGGATACAAGTTCGTCAACTGAAAACCAAACTAAGCCAGTCTTCTCCTGTCCTTTTAGTAAATTGGAGGAGGATGATGATTTGGAAAGGATAAGTTTTAAGAATCAATTTTAAAACATCACAATAACAACAGTAAACCCTACAAACACGTTCTCAATACAGGGCTTTCACATGATAGGTGTTCAAGAACCATTTACTGAATGAGTATGCTCAAACAGTTCCCAATGAACTAATTCATAATCTCTAAGCTCCTTTCCAAATTTTTCCACTGCCCCAAGGACTTCATACCCTCCCTTCCTTAAGGTAAGAGCTACTTGGCAGGACTCCACAATGTCAATTTTAATTTCCAACTTTGTGTTGTGATGTTTCAGAGTTTATACAACTCTCAGGGAGAAGCAGTTGTCACCATGGCAACCTTGAGGCCACTGCAGTGAGAGAAATTAGTGCCTGCCCAGACCTCATAATTGCTGTAGTCTCTTCCTCTTGGTTTCCTAGCAGTGGATGCTTGAATACAAAAAACGAGTGGGCTTCAGCCAGTGAGGGTAATAGCGTATAGCAGTAAACGATCTGTTAGCTGATGCTTACATTTCAGACAAATTGAGGAGGTTGTCAAAGGCATTAGCTTCTATCTTTTCCAGGGAATCACTCTGAGAAATTTCACTAGGGCAGAGAGAGAGGGGAAAAAAAAGAAGAAATATGAAAGAAATGCCTGTGTCTGCATCATAAGCAGCTATGCATGTGGCCCGACAACTTGGTGCTCCAATATGTTCTTTCAGAAAAAGAACTCGGGTGCCTTCAGCTGTGCCCACGTCGTAAAGCGCTAACATCGCCCTTTAGGAGCACGGATGGGCACCTACAACCCAGGTGCTGTTGAAATGCAAGTTTCAGTAATCCCTGTTTTTTTCTTCCTTGTTTATTATGATACAGCATCATAGATTATTAGAAGTAGACAGGCCCTTTGAGAAAATGTATTCAGATTCCTTTGTTTTGCAGCTCTGAAAATTGAATTTCTAAAAAGAGAGGCACCTAGTGTTTTTCTTCCATCTATCTTTTATTTATGCCCATATCATTTCCTTTAAATTTTGTTTCCATTGCAGTTTATGTTCAATATTATTTTGTATTAGTTTCAGGTGTACAGCATAGTGGTTAGACAGTCATATACTTTGTAAGTGTTTGCCCCCACCCAGCACCATGCATCATTATTAGAATATTATCAACTATATTCCCTATGGTGTACTTTACATCCCCATGACTATTTTATAACTACTAATTTGTATTTCTTAATCACTTCACTTTTTTCACCCAGTCCCCCAACTTCCTCCCTCTTTCAACTATCAATCCATTCTTTGTCTCTATGAGTCTATTTCAGTTTTGTTTGTCCATTTATTTTGTTCTTTAGATTCCATGTATAAGTGAAATCATATGGTATTTCTCTTTTGCTGACTGATTTATTTCACTCAGCATAATAGCCCCCAGGTCCATCTACGCTGTCACAAATGGCAAGTTTTCATTCTTTTTTTTATGGCACAGTAGCATTCCATTGTGCAAATGCATCACACAGCTTTTTTATCCACTCGTCTATTGAGAGGCACTTGGGCTGCTTCCAGATCTTGGCCATGCTGCTGTAATGTAGGGGTGCATTCGGATATGTACCCAGAGATGGGAACAGTGGGTCATAAGGCAGTTGCATTTTTAATTTTTTGAAAACCCTCTTACTGTTTTCCACAGTGGCTGCACCTCCAGCAGCTAGTGTGGTTAGGGAGGTTTCAGGACCAAGATCAGGCTATCTGGGTTCCCAACTCCATTATTCTAGGGAGGTTTTAGTTTGGGTTGAATTCATTGTTTCGTAACACCCCCTTTCCCCAAATCCTGTTCTGAGGCAATGGCAATGTGGTCAACTCCTGCACACAGTGTCTTCCTTGGATTCTATTTCTTTGACTGTTTTTTTTTTTTCACTCTGTTAACAAATTGAGGACAAGGAGTATGTCCCATTCACTTCTGAACCCTGGTGGCATCATAATGCCTGGCACATTGGAAAGAAATGAATGAATGGATTGATTTTTTAAAAAAAGACACAAAGTAAATGAAACAGTTTTGCCACATACCACCTCCAAGCACGTAGGTAATGTCAATGTTATTCTAAACCCCCAACATAAGCTACCATTTACTGCCAGCTGAGAAATAAGTCTCAAATTCACCAACTGGTTTTTTTTTAAGGTTAACATTCACCGAAGGTTTCAGACTTGATGAGAGCTTTGGCCCACGGAAAGGCTGAGACTACAGCAGCTGATGTCTTTTGTGACAACACAGTAATGGATTGGTTCCTGGGCTGATTCATCTTATTCCTACTAATGGTTTGCTCATTTAACTGTGGCTGCTTTTCTCACCAGGAGGTCTAAAAGTTCCCAAAACTCAATGTTTCAACTTGAGAAGAGTGAGAATTAGGTTTAAGCAAACTGATATTTCTGTAACCTGCAGTGAATTTCTTCTAATGTACACTAATTCTTAGGGAATTATTATTTTTTTACTATGCTCACTGTTTGCTAATAGCCTAAAGAGCAGTCAGCGGTTCCCCTAGGAGCTACCGAAAGCCCAGTGGATTGTTAAGATCAGAGATGCTCTCTGGAAACTAAAAGGCCCCTTATGTTCCTTGGACTCAGACTGCCATTACGGAGGATGCAGGGATCCTGGAGTACTGAGACAGTTCTCCCTCCATGTATGGAGTCTTGGGCCACAGAACCTGAGCCCCAGGGCAAAGCATTGAAGTTACATCTGACATGAAAGTAAGATCACACTGCCTTATTAGGCTGCTCTGCACTCTGATAAATGCCTTTTATCAATAAGGCTATAAATATTGTATTTTTGTCTTATGCTTATTGTATTTTAGATATGAAGATTATCTTCTGATGCACAATAAATTTCCAACACATTTTCTTCTATGTGGGTGTTATCTAAAAATATGACATGAGGGAAAAACTGCTCCAGCAGGAGAATTTTTATGATTGGAATCTCTCATCTTTTCTACTTGAGAAGTTTATCATCACTTAATCTAAATGCATTCAGTTCATTTGAATCAAGGTTAATTATCTAGATTTGAATGACTCTTGAAAACCATACCTTTCTTTAAAGGTCCCTGGATATTATTTGTATTAAAAAAGATAAAGTACTAGGGTTTCCCAAATACAGTTTCTCTCCTAGAAAAATCAGCCCCTTTCAAATATGATTTCTCTTAGAAAAAATTTATTATTCCAATTATGAGTGTCTTTAGACATGCAGTAGCTTACTTACATTTTTGTGACTTCATTAAGTCCTCTGAAAGCTTGAGATGGAATTATGCTGATAGGGAGGTAGCCAAGTGATCTAGAAAAGAAAGAAGGAAAGCCAGGAGTTTACGATGTAACATTGGTGCCTTTTAAGTTCATGAATAAAATGCATGTGGGGTGTGTATGTGCATGTGAGACAACAGAGTTCTCAACAACTGAATTTAACTTGAGAATTCCAACTTACATCCGTAAAAAGATGCGTTATGACTTGTTCTTAGTCTATGGCAGTGTGGGATTTTTGGATTAATATCTTGAACTTCGGGATCAGACACACCCAGCTTCAAATCCTTACTCTCTCTCTACCTGGCTCTGTGACCCTGAGCGTGTTATTTAAGCACTCTGTTTCAGTTTCTTCATTGACAAAACAAATAATAATTCCAATTTCAGAGGGTTGTTATGATGATTAATCAAGAAAATGCATTTAAAGGACAGGGCTTGGTACTAGGTAAATAGTTAATACGTTGTTCTATAGTGGCCCCATAGGTTTGGCTGGGAGGATGGAAAAGAAGCTTTCTTGGGTAGAGTGAAGAAATGAATGATGAAAATACAATGGGAAATCAGGCAGAAAGGAGAAGGGAAGATTCGCTGAAAACGTGGTCTGTCCCCTCCAGGCAGCCCATTTCAATATTGTCCCGAGAGCACTTGCTAATGTGGTTAAATCACAGAGGCATCTCATGCCATTTTGGGGGAGCATCTATAGAGCATTTCCTTCAGACCCTTACTTATATCCAAAAAACAATGTAAGTGTTCTTGAATTGAGACAAAAATCATGTATTACATAAGACTTGAGAATAGAGTGATTACTTGGCAACAGCAAGAACCAGAACACGATGATGTATGAGTGATAAAGGAACGTGGGGTTAAGATAAATCAGGAGAAGGTGTCTGCTAGGAATGAATGTTCAACCACCATTTATTAAGCATCTACAATGGTTCAGAGTTTTAGATCAAGGGCTGGCAGAGAGAAGGGGGGTGGAGCAAGACATTTCAGGTGGGACATGAATATCATGAGTATGAGAACAGAGGTCAGAGTTCTGCCTTGGTCTTCATGTGTCTGTGCAGCAGAGGCTGCCTTAGCTTCTAGAAAAGAACACCTCTGTGATGTGCAGATTTGAGTCAGTGAGATGTCTTGTATCTCTGGGAGAGACTTGCTGCTGGTGTAAGGTGCTGTGTAGTGATGCACAGCCACCTCTAACCTTGTTATGTACACTCGACAATGGAGTGAGGTGGGGAATTCCCCTTCAATAGCAGAAGAAACTGGGTCACAAAAAGAGTAATTTGAACAAGGTAACATGACTAAGCAGGCTGAGACCAAATGTCCTGTCCACTGTTCAATATTGGGCTTAAGCATGGGATTCCTAACTGACTTTCTCTTTGTTTCTTGTTTCCCTCAACTATATTGAGGAATTATTGACAAATATAATTGCATATATTTAAGATGTACAATGTGATGATTTGATATACACATTCATTGTGCATGACTACCAAGATAAAGATAATTAACATGTCCCTCACCTCACATAGTTAACTCTTTTTTGTATGTGTGGTGAGAACACTTAAGATAAACTCACAGCACCTTTAAAGTATACAATACTGTGTTGTTAACTATAGTCACCATGCTGTGCATTGGATCCTCAGAACTTACTCTTCTTATAACTGATATAACTTTGACCTAGTCTCTCCATTTTTCTCTCCTCCCGGGCCCTGGCAACCATTCTATTCTCTGTTTCTATGAAATCCACTTTAAAAACATTTTTTTAAGTGCACATAAAAGTGATATCATACAGTGTATGTCTTACTCTGTCTGGCTTATTTCACTAAGCACAATGTCCTTCAGGTTCATTCTATGTTGTTACAGATGCCACTTTTCCTTCTTTTCTTTTTATGGCTGGAAACCATTCATTCCATTGTGTGTGTATATACACTTATGAGGTCTGTCCAGAAGGTATCCAGCCATGTAATATGAAAAATAGACATTTATTGAAGGTGCAAGATATAAGAAACATTGTACATAGGACAATAACACCTTGGTCACCTTCAAGGTAGGCACCTTGGGACTTCACACAGTTCTCCCAAGGTCTCTTCCACTGTTCAAAACACTCTGCAAAATCCTTTGTTGGAATCACTATTAGCTGCCTTGTCATATTTTCCTGAATCTCCTCAATAGTCTGAAATCTCTTTCCTTATGAAGGTGATTTTAGTTTTAGGAAAAGCCAGTAGTTTTTGGAATCCCCAGGTCAGCTTCTAGTTCTCGCACTGTCAGTCGCTGATCTTTGTTGATTGCAGCCTGTACACGTTCAACAGTCTCAGGTGTTCTGCTTGTTGCAGGCCTTACAGAATGTGGATCACTTTCAACAGATTCTCGACCATCTTTGAAGCGTTTGTGCCACACTTTTACTTGTGCTGTTAGTACCTAAATGCCTCATCCCTAAAAGCCTTCTGAGTCATCCAAATAGTTTCTGAGGAGAAATATCCAAGCTTAGTGCAAAATTTAATGCAGATTCATTGCTCTTCTTGGTCAGTCATTGTGAATGTGATGACCGTATAGCACATGTGCTCATTCAATGGCTTCTACCTCCCCCACTGACTAGTACGGCGAAGTTGTCATTTTTCACACACGTGTGTTCCAGTCCACTCTCCTTGGCTGCCAGGTTACATCGATGTCATGCAAACTGTTCTTGTTATATTAATGAAGGACATTTAGATTATTTCCTTATCTTGGCCATCATGAATAATGCTGCAGTGAATGTGAGAGTGCAGATATCGCTAAAGATAGTTACTTGATTTCCTTCGGATATATACCCAGGTAACCCACTTTCTTTCAGTGAGCATGGTGGAGGGGCAGGTCTGTAACCTTGCTGATCTTGAGAGAAGGCCTGTCTCGATATTCCTCCTGCAAAGCATCTCACCAACAGTTCCTCTCTTGGGGATAATGCAAAGAAATTTTATTTCAGAAAAATTCATTCACTCAACAGTCTCTTAGAGATGGTACAATCTTGAGGAAGTAATCCAAACCTGGTCCTCTGAATCTATTCCTGAAGACAGTCCCTCAAGCACTTTGTTCAATACCCAAACTTATTTAACAGGGCATCCAAGAAGAACAGGGACTGTAGGGGAGAAATATTCTTACGCTGGCATGTTTGTTTCCTATATTTCTTCTGGAATCATGTCTGCTTGGCTTACTGATTAAAAACACAGTTTTATTGCTCTCTGCACTGCCAAGTCAATAAATTTCCAGAAGAGGAAGCTGTGTTCTACTGTACCCCATGCAACATCAATAAAACTGACAGCCAAATTCTGATTCCAGAATCGTTATTGCTGGGGATAATGCAGTGCAGAACATATTTGGGAGAGTGTTTACATAAAAGCTTCAACTGAACCCTTCAGAGCCATTTATATGCAAATGGAGCCCAGAAGCTGGAGCTCTCAGCAGGCAGTCTCCTCCTCCAACACGGGGCACAGCGTGGCTCTCCGAAGAGCAGTTTGGCTCAGATTTGACCAGGGAAGTTGTTTGAGCTTTTGATTGATGTAGGGATGAGGGATGAGGAGCAAAGGTCAGGCAGAAGTGAGAGAAGCAGTAGATCAGGCACTGGCTGTCCCCAGTGACTACGGAACAGTCCTGGTGCAAGATGAAATTTTGCAGTTGATGTTGATACTGCAGAACAGGAAAGGCAGAGTGATTGAGTCCCAACCATAAAAGAGTCACTGAGTGAACAGCAGGGAGATACGCGGATGTGGACAGGGCAAGATAAAAGCCTGGGGGCCAGAGAATGGGGAGAGAGGCTGGGTGAGGCAGGAGCGCTGAGCTTTTCACAACAGATGTATTCTCTTGAAGCCATGTGGAAAATATGGTTCTATGAATCCCAAACCGGGTTTTTTCACTGACTTATATTTTTATTTTAGAGATGTCATGTCTTTATTGCTGATATATCTTCAATTGGCTGCAGTTCCTAAGCATTCAAGTGTCCGTTTCCTGTACTTAAACTTGTTCACATGGCCCATGATTTGTTCATAATCATTTGAATGTACTTCCTTTAAGGCACTCTATTTCTTGATGGATGCTTCTGTGATTCTTTCCATGAAGCCAGAAACTTTTAGCAATGTGATTATCTTAATTACCCTGCCGTTCTACTCCTGCATACGTCCCAGAGAAATTCTCACACTGAAACTTAAGGGCAACCACACAAGGATTCTTCTTCACAGCCTGTGGCACTGGGGGTGGGGGGGAGGCATGCTGGGTGTGCACTACTGAGTGAGACAATGGTAAAATGTGGACAGTAGACACCTAACTCATTGCTCAGCAGTTGGCAGTGGGAGTGGAAAGACACACAGGGCAGCATGTGTTAATCTTAGAATCATGGTACTGAGAGAAAAAAGTAAGAAATTAATGATATATATAAAATACTACTAGCAGAATTAAAATACCTGCCCATCAACTGTAGACATTTTAAAAGAGAATATATAAATATACATTAGGATGGATGCTCCATGTGAGTCAAAAGGAAGTGGAAGGGGATAAAGTAAATTACTAAAAACAGAAAGAGACTTTGAATGGACCAAAGATAATGTTACTTATATGAAGAAATATGATCAACTTAACCCTATGTTCCTATGAGACAAATGGAAAAGAAAAAACATTATATTTTTATGTATTGAGTTCTTCCCTCACTCCCCTCTCTCCTTCCTTCTTCCTTTCTTATTTTTTTTTTGAAGTTAGGTCTACATGTATCCAAAATTTTTGTGAACTTCAGGAACTCTTGTGGAGAGGTCTAGTCAGTGTCATTAGGTATAGAGTAGAAGCCAAGGAGAACTGGAGAAAAAGGGCCAAAGGCAAGGACAGTTTGGCAACTCTGCTGTCTAGGGTCAACAAAGGCATGAAAGCTATGCATAAAGCAAAGAAAAATAAGAGAGACAGCACCTGTTCTGTCTCAGAGAGAGCAGCACTTCCAAACTGCGCGTCATCTCAGATGGGTGGTAGAGAGCCAGGGTTAGTGGGCAGACGGGAGTTTGAACTTGCAGGGTAGGGAGTTCTCTCTGC